AAAATATTTATTAAATTAAATATGAAATTTGTGTAACAAATGAAAAAAGGCAATGGACATTTTGGCAAATGACAATCCAAACACTTTCCGAGATTGGTATCATCTTCTACCAGGAATCTGTCAAACGCTGACTGAAAAGTTGTGATAGTGAAAAGTTGAGAGATTAGTGCTGTGAAGAGAGATGATGCTTGAAAGTGCGAGTGGGCTGAATAGGTTCATCTTTGATCTTTTGCAAGTGGGGGGGTTGCGGACATCGATGGGATATAAAGGCCACTCTTAACTGTGGGCACTTGTTTCATTAATTTTCACTCCTTAAAGTTTCTTTTTCATCAAAAAGAAACATATTTGTTGGAAGTTTTATGAATGAATTTCATTTTAGGTTACTTACTGGGCCTGGAAATGAGTTTAATTCCCCAAAATAATTTATTTAATTTCACCATAGAAGAGTCTTCTGAAAACATCATTTTTATTCTCACTTCAATTTTGTTTGTTTTACAGAACTTAATCTTCATCGAGAGGATGTGAATTTCTTGTGATAAATCAGTCATCTAAGAGGCATTCTACGAGTGGATCTCCAGAATATCCCTCTTGACATGCACAAACTGCACTGTGGTCTACCACACGAGTGCATACTGCTCCCTTTCCACATTGTGTGCATGCCTTGATACATTCCCAATTGCTGCAAAAGTTTCGTGACCCGCAATCATCATCAGCTATACATTCATGACGGCAGCCTGTAAAAGGTGAACCTGTGTAAGTTGGGAGGCATAAGCATACTGCTACTCCATCAATAATTTCACATTTTGAGTTTGGGTCACCACATGGACTTGGATCACATGCTGCATCTGAGAAATGAAAAGCAAAGTGGCCCTTTTTATCTAACAAAATATTTATATAAATAAGCAGATTTGTATCTTTGTAAGCAAGTTTCCAATAATAGTGACGCGGTTATGTCGATGAATCATCTTTAAATATTTAAGAAAAAAAGATTGTTAAGGATATTTAGGGAAGAATATTTAATCAGCGTTGTTTATCACCGCATCACCATTTATGAATACTTTTTTCTCTTTGCTCATTATACCATAACTGACATTGCCATGCCTGACACGAGCCAAACGCTCTGTGTGATCAAGACGAGAAAGGCAAAGACCTGAAAGATTGAGAATTTAAATCTTCTTTCCTTGACTCGTGATAACTTAGACCAGGTGGCGAAAATATTAGAGATTATCTAAGTTAAGATGATGACGTCTCAGTAAATATCAGAGGATTTCCCAAAGAACAAATAAACACAAATTCTTATTTAACGGATGCTTTTGATCAATCGCCGATCATATTGTCTCATTCCTCTGATATTCTTTCTTTTACGACTTACGACTCGAGCTTACTTTAACACAAAAGAAAAATCTTCCACAGGTGATGAAAATTCAAGAAGAACTTTTTATGTGACATGTTTGATAACTTTTTACGAAGACTTTTGCCGCTGAATTAGACGTGAAATTAATTGGAATTTGCGACAGCTCAAACAAAATTAAAATTGGTTGGATGATAGAATCAAAACATTATTAAATTAATTCATTGAATTTTATCAATGACAAAATCTGCTGCATTCGGTTGATAAACTTTCAGTCACTTCATGTTTCTCATTGACCGTTAAA